CAGGAGATAAGGCTGGTTGTGGTGGCTCTCCCTTGTAATCCCAACACTTTGGAAGGCCAAAGTGGGAGGATCGCTTGAGCCCAGGAGTTTGAGACCAGCCTGGGAAACGTAGGGAGACCCGATCTCTACAAAAGATTTTTTTTAATTGGTCAGGCTGGCTGTGGTGGCTCATGCCTGTAATCCCAGCACTTTGGAAGGCTGAGATAGGTGGATCACTTGAGTCCAAGAGTTCGAGACCAGCCTGGGCAACGTGGTGAAATCCCATTTCTTTCTTTCTTTCTTTTTTTTTTTTTTTTGAGACAGAGTTTTCGCTCTTGTTGCCCAGGCTGGAGTGCAATGGCACGATCTCGGCTCACCGCAACCTCCACCTCCTGGGTTCAGGCAATTCTCCTGCCTCAGCCTCCTGAGTAGCTGGGATTACAGGCACGCGCCACCATGCCCAGCTAATTTTTTGTACTTTTAGTAGAGACGGGGTTTCACCATGTTGACCAGGATGGTCTCGATCTCTTGACCTCGTGATCCACCCGCCTCGGCCTCCCAAAGTGCTGGGATTACAGGCTTGAGCCACCGTGCCCGGCCGAAACCCCATTTCTTAAAATAAAAAATGAAAAAATAAAATTAGCCTGGCATGGTGGCTCAAGCCTGTGGCCCTAGCTACTCAGGAGGCTGAGGTGGGTGGGAGGATTTCTTGAGCCTGGGATTGCACCATTGCACTCCAGCCTGGGTGACAGAGACCCTGTTTCAAAAAATAAATAAAATAATATAAAATAATAAAATTAGAGGATTTCACATGAAATGTAGGTGTCTGGCTTCTCTAGGGAAGTGGGAAGATCCGGCCACATGGGCGGGCATTTCTCAGCACAACAATGGGCTCCTCACTCCTTCTGAGACAGTGCCCACCAGGCCTGTCATTTATAGCATAACTGCACCTATGTGCCCTAGGGGCAGCATTTGACTTCACAGCTGCTGACCATTCTCTTTCTAACCTCAACTTCTGGCCCTCTGTGGAGAACTTGCTACGAACTGCAACCTCCTGAACTGCTCCTAGAAGAACTTGCTGGCTTAGACTATCCAAACCAGCAGGTGACACCTCTGCTAATCATTCACGTTTTACTTTAGGTTGCATTCATTGTTTTTATTTTTGTTTATTTTTTTGAGATGGAGTTTTGCTCTGTTGCCAGGCTAGAGTGCAGTGGTGTGATCTCGGCTCACTGCAACCTCCGCCTCCTGGGTTCAAGTGATTCTCCTGCCTCAGCCTCCCAAGTAGCTGGGATTACAGGCACGCACTGCCATGCCTGGCTGATTTTTGTGTGTGTGTTTTTTTTTTTTTTTTTTTTTTGAGACGGAGTTTCGCTCTTGTTACCCAGGCTGGAGTGCAATGGCGCGATCTCGGCTCACCGCAACCTCCGCCTCCTGGGTTCAGGCAATTCTCCTGCCTCAGCCTCCTGAGTAGCTGGAATTACAGGCACGCACCACCATGCCCAGCTATTTTTTTTGTATTTTTAGTAGAGACGGGGTTTCACCATGTTGACCAAGATGGTCTCGATCTCTTGACCTTGTGATCCACCCGCCTCGGCCTCCCAAAGTGCTGGGATTACAGGCTTGAGCCATCGCACCCGGCCGATTTTTGTGTTTTTAGTAGAGATGGGGTTTCATCATGTTGGCCAGGTGGGTCTCAAACTCCTCATCTCAGGTGATTCGCCTGCCTTGGCCTCCCAAAGTGCTGAGATTATAAGTGTGAGCCACTGGGCTTGGCCCTTATTTTTGTTTTTTAAACCAACATCCTGTCCTGGTAATCACACGAGTGTGCTGTTAATCAGGTATACCTGGGGCAGATATTCCTAGAGAGTGTGCTGCCTGGCATAGGAAGCAACTGGGGCTGTAATTAATTTACTGGGTTTCCAAATGGGGGCCTGAGAGCAACTGCTTTGGGTTAACAGGGAACATCTTTGCTGTTTCCAGCCCCCTGAAGAGGACTTGGCATCCCGACAAGGACGCCAGGATGGGCAGCTCCATCTTTTGGGTAGTTCAATTCAGCCTCAGAGAGTTGAAATTAGATGTTCATCTCTGACCAAGGACAGTGGCTCACATCTATAAACCTAGCACTTTGGGAGGCCAAGGCAGGTGGATCCCCTGATTTCAGGAGTTCAAGATGAGCCTGGACAACATGGCACAATTCCATCTTTACAAAAGATACAAGAGTTAGCCAGGCATGGTGGCATGTGCCTATAATCTCAGCTACTTGGGAGGCTGAGGTGGGGGTCGGACCCCCACATCCTAGGTCTATCTGCTACACCACACTGTTGCCATATGTCTTTGACCTCATTCTGCCATCTCCTAAGAAAGCCAGAGTGCAGGCTGGGAATATCACCTGAACCCGGAAACTCTAGGCCAGGCGTCCCCAAACTACGGCCCGCGGGCTGCATTCGGCCCCTGGAGGCCATTTATCCGGCCCCCCACTGCACTTCGGGAAGTGGCACCTCTTTCATTGGTGGTCAGTGAGAGGAGCATAGTATGTGGTGGCCCTCCAACAGTCTGAGGGACAGTGAACTGGCCCCCTGTGTAAAACCCTGCTCTAGGCTGTAATGAGTGGTGATCCCACTGCACTCCAGCCTGGACGACAGAGTCAGATCCTGCCTCAAAAAAACAAACAAGTGGCTGGGCATGATTGCTCATGCCTGTAATCCTAGCACTCTGGGAGTCAGAGGCAGGCCAATCACTTGAAGTCAGGAGTTTGAGACCAGCCTGGCCAACATGGTGAAATCCCGTTTCTACTAAAAATACAAAAATTAGTTGGGAATGGTGGTGCCTGTCTGTTGTCCCAGCTACTTGGGAGACTGAGGCAGGAGAATTGCTGGAACCCGGAAGGTGGAGGTTGTAGTGAACTGAGATCGTGCCACTGCACTCCAACCTGGGTGACAGAGCAAGGCTCCCTCTCAAAAAACACACAAACAGGCATGGTGGCTTATGTCTGTAATCCCAGCACTTTGGGAGGCCAAGGCAGGAGGATCATGAGGTCAGGAGTTCAAGACCAGCCTGACAACATGGCAAAACCCCATCTCTACTCAAAAGATACAAAAATTAGCCAGGCGTGGAGGTGGGTGCCTGTAATTCCAGCTACTCAGGTCGAGGCAGGAGAATTGCTTCAACCTGGGAGGTGAAGGTTGCAGTGAGCTGAGATCACGACACTACAATCCACCTGGGCAACAGAGCAAGACTCTGTCTCGGGAAAAAAATAAAAAAAAATCACACACACAAACACAACAACAAAAATCCACTTGCCCTGAGTTTTCATAGCCGAACTTTCATGAGAAGGACAGCTCCTCAACATGTAGCATTTCTCTTCATTTCCTTCACTCTGCCCCTGGCTAGTGCCCAGGTTAGTGCTGGTGGAGATCATTTGGCATGGAAATTATGGCAATTAAGCCAATGAGGGCACCTTGCCCCTGAATGGCGCCAGCGCCTCTGGGTTGCCATGGCAGTGCTTCAGGCTGTTGTTGAGCTCAGAGTTTGACCTTCTCAGAAAAGGAGGCAAAACGAGGCAAGGAAAGAAAGAGAACACAATTGCCAGCATTTACTGAGCACCTACTCAGTGGCGGGCACCTACTTTTGTTTTCTCTCTCTTTTTTTTTTTTTTTGAGATGGAGTCTTGCTCTGTTGCCCTGGCTGGAGTGCAGTGGCGTGATCTCAGCTCAATGAAATTTCTGCCTCCTGGGTTTAAGCAATTCTCCTGCCTCAACCTCCTCAGTAGCTTGGATTATAGGTGCCCACCACCATGCCCGGCTAATCTTTTTGTATTTTTACAGGTAGAGACCCCGTTTCACCATGTTGGCCAGGCTGGTCTGGAACTCCTGATCTCAAGTGATCCACCTGCCTTGGCCTCCCAAAGTGTTAAAATTACAGGTGTGAACCACCGTGCCCAGCCCCTACTTTTGTTTTCTAACCATCTTGGGAGATGGTTATTATAAACAAATGTATTTGAAGAGGGAAGTGAAGCTCTAAGCGGATTGGCTAACTTGCTAGAAATTCTGGATTTGAACCTAAGTGAGTCTGACTCCATATCCCAGGGCTTTCTGCTACACCACCCTGTTGCCATAATGTTGTCGACCTCATTCCACCATCTCCTAAGAAAGCCAGAGTATAGGCTGGCAATGTCAAATAGGCCTTCTCAGTGGAAAAGTCTCACCTGTCACCCTGGTGGTAAACTCTTCTTCTTTTGGAGATTTTTTAAAAATTCTGTTTAAATATTATTAATTTTTTGTATTAAATATTGAGCACATATGTAGAAATGTGTAAAACAGTTGACAGGTCTAAACAATTTTAATAAATTAGCTGGGCATGGTGGCTCATGCCTACAGTCCTAGCACTTTGGAAAGCTAGGCGGGCAGATCACTTGAGGTTAGGCGTTCGAGAACAGCCTGGCCAACATCGAGAAACCCCATCTCTACTAAAAAAATTAAAAAAAAATTTTAAATAAATTAAATGCCACTATGCCCACGCGTGCACACACACACACACACAATTTTGAGACAGGGTCTTGCTCTGTCACCCAGGCTGGAGTACAGTGGCCTGACCAGGGCTCTCTGCAGCCTCAAACTTCTGGGGTTGGGTGATCCTCCCACTTCAATCTCCTGAGTAGCTGGGACCAGAGGTGCATGCCATCACACCCGGCTATTTTTTATAAATTTTTGTAGAGATGGGTCTCCCTACGTTGCCCAAGCTGGTCTCAAACTCTTGGGCTCAAGCGATCTCCTGCCTTGGCCTCCCAAACTGCTGGGATTACAGGTGGGAGCACTAGCACCTGGCCTCAAATGCCACCATATTTCTGATTCCTGCCACCTCCAGGCTCATAGACTGTGAGTAAACATTCTGGGCAGATAATCGTTTGCAATTGCTTCCAGGGTGGTGTTTGCTGAGTTGTCAAGCTGTGGGCTAAGTGGTAAATGTCAGGTATCTCTGCTGTCGTGGGCCAGGTACTTAAGTTGCTAAGATACCGAGTCCATCGATGACCTTTAAACCTGCTTCCCCTGTGTTGCCTAGACTACAGGGTTTGGACGGCTTTGGAAGATGTGTTCAGAGAACTTTGCCCAAACTGGCCCACCCCTGTTTGTTCTAATGCTATGTAGAGCTGTTTCTGTTTCTCAGCCAGCTCAGGCCCTCTATTCCTTCCAAGCCGGTCTGCGGCCTCCGCTACCCACCTGCTGAGGGCGATCTTCTGGTGGAGCAGAAAGCCCCGCTCGTAGGGCCAGGGAAGGCCGGCCTCGAACCACTCGCGACAGCGCAGCACGGGCGAGATGCAGGCGGCGCCTGTCACGTAGCTAGAGGAGCCGCACTCGCCCAGGTAGGACAGTAGCAGCGCCGAGCCCGAGCCCTCGCTCACCAAGAACAGCGGCGCCGCCGGGTGTCGAAAGCGGATGTAAGTGACGGCCTCCTTGAGGTCGGACGGGTCCCCGAAAGGCTGCAGCCGGGGGCTGACCAGCGGGCAGCCGTGGTGGCCGCGGCGATGGAAGATAACTGGGTAGTAGCCGCGCTCCAGGGCGAGCAAGCAGAGGCCGAGCACGTTGCGAGTGAGGCGACCCCAGGCATTAGGGATCACCAGAAGCACCGCGGGAAGGCTCCCGGCGCTGGTTATCCGGCGGCCCCGAACACAAGGTCCCACCACCCAGTCCAGGGCCACCAGCCCATCGTCCGCCAACTGCAGGTACTCCCGGGCGAGCTCAGGCCCGGGCGCCACGGGCAGGACAAAGTGGCAGAGGGTCTGCAGGTGGGGCCCAGAGAGCCAGGAGCGCGGGCCGGGCTCCAGCGCCGCGGAGCGCCGCAGGGCGCGCAGCAGGCACTGGGCCAGCGCCGACGGCTTGCAGACAAGACTACACCCGCCCGGCAGTGACTCGCGCCCGTCGCTGAACTGGTCCGCGGGGCCTCCGCCGTCTGCCTCCTCCTCGTCATCGCGGTTTTGGGCCCCCGGCAGGGTTCTCTCTCCGACGGTGCGCCCCCAGGGGCTCCGGAGCCACGGGCGGAGCCGGCAGAGCAGGGCTAGCATAGCCAAGATGAGCGCGAGGGCCGCGCTCCACGGCGGCATGGCGAGGCCACAGAGCCCCGGGGGGCGGCGGGGGGCCGGCGGTCCGGCTGTCTACTTGGAGAGCTCCGCGCTCTGCCTGCGGCTCCGCCTGCCGGCGGCGGCTACCCAGGGCCCTCCTGCGCGGGCGCGCTCTGGATTGGCCGCGGCTACGCAGAGGCAGCCAGTTCAGGCCCGACTCCCCTCGCCCGCCCCCCACCTCCGCCCTCGGCCCTTTGTACAGCGATTGCAACAAGCTGGAGCAGAGGGTGAGAGGAGTCGGGGCCACCAGGAAGGGAGCAGGGAGAGCACGAGCCAGGGAGAGCGGTGCTGGCCAGGGGCGTGGGGAGACTGGAGGCCGAGGCTTGGGGACCCGGGTGTCATTAGGGTCTTTAGCCAGACCCCGGGCGCTCCGCCCTCAAAGACCAATGAAGAGAAGCAGAAGGGAGAGGTGAATAAGTCGCAGCTTCGGGCGCCGACTCCTGGGCCCGCGTGGGGCGGCGGTCGCGCGCTCTGCCCTCGCCGTTTGTCTCCACCGCCCTACTCTGCAGCCCCGCAGTTACTAGGCCGGGCGGGGTCCGGTGCTGGGCCAGTGAGGGCGAGCGCGGCGTCCTAGCCGCTGGCGAGAGACTGCTACTTCCCTGACTGCATCAGTGCGGGTCCCACGGAATCCTGGTTCCCGTCCCCGTCCCCGTCCCCGCGAGCTCGGGGCTCCCCATGAAGGAAATCCTCAGCCCTGCTGCCCGGGAGGGAGTTCCCCAGAAGCAGCCGCCCCGCGCCTCCGAGAGTCAGTTGGAGAAAAGCACACTCAGGCGTCCTGCGACAGGGATGCCCCTCCGACCTACAAGGAATCCCTTGTAAGCCGGGGTGCATGGGAGACCACGGAAATAACACGTTCTCGCTGTTTCCAAGCTTTGGGATGGCCATCTTGACCCTCGCTCTCTACCCATGTTCTTCCCCCAAATCCTGGAGAGGGGACCAGAACCGGCGCCCCGCTGCAGGGCGGGCCGGCCAGCGCCCCCCCTGGGGGTGAGGCCTGTGGCTTCCCCACCTCGCGGCGACCAGTCTCTTTCTGGACGCGCGCCGGCCACCGCTGGGCGACGGCGGAGGTGGGGAACACTGCAGCTCCTCGGCCAGCTCCGACCTCCCGGGGCTTCTGGGTCTAAGGATTTTGGGGGGCGAAGACCCCTCGAGGCTCCTCTGGGGTCCCTATTTGAGAGGGCGAAAGTGGGGGTGGGCCGACATCAAAGCTTCAGAAGTGGGACCGTCTCCCTTCAGCAGCTCCTCCTGACTTCGTGATTCAGCCCCTCTTCTCGCTGCAGGTCACGCAGACAAAATCTGAAGCAGGTTTGCCAGGGGAGCGTACCCGTCTCCCCAGCTTGGGCCACCCGGTCCACAGGGATCCCAATCTCATCCAGGAGCTGCAGATGTGCTCTGCAGGCTGCAAGGACGCGCTGGTACGAAACCCCGGGCGAGGCGACGGGGTCCCCGCGGCCCTGCAGCGCCCGGAGCGCTGGCCCAGCTCACTCACCCAACTTTTCCGGCTTCAGGTTTAGGACGCGTGCGCGCAAGCTCGGCTGCTGTGGGCGGGCATTAGGGGCGGGGCGGGGGCGCCTAGGGGTGGGGCGAGGCCGGGGGCCCGCGGTCTAGGAAGGGGCGGGCGCGAGCTCAGGGCAGGCGGGCGCGAGCCCGGGGCCACCGGGCGCGCGGGCGCGCAGGCGGCGCGGGGGCCCTGGGGCCGGAGGGGCGGGACGCGCGCGCTCCTTCTGTGGCTGGGCGGCTGACCCGGCCCGGGGCCGTCTGGGATGGCGCGTCCTCCGCCTTCGCCCCAGCTGCTTTTTCTGGCCGCCCTAGCAAGGCTCCTGGGTCCCAGCGAGGTAAGGTGATCAGCTCCTCCTGAGAAGGCCTCGGCCCGGGAGCTCAAAGTGCTTTGCCGAAAGTTCGTCCTGGAAGGAGTGGCGTGCCGAGGGGGAGGCGGAGTTCTTCCGCTGGCGGGCTGTGCCTGGAAGGAGAGGGCAGGGCCTCGCCGCGTCCAGCGCCCCAGCTCTGCGCTTTGGACCCACAGGTGGTGGCTAGACCGGCGGAGGAGGCGGGAGCCCATTGTTCCGAGGGCCTGTGGCCTCTTCCCCCGCAGGTAGGAGCCCTGGAGGGCCTAGGGAGAGAGGAGTGTGAAAGGCTAGCCCAGTCCCGCTCGGTTCTCGCCGCACAATCTTTGGGGACCTCTGCCGGTTCCTCCCGTCCTCAGTCGCCAACTCTCCATCCCAGCCTGGCGTTTGGGGCCTGCTGTCCCCTCCCCATTACACACACACAGAGTCCACCAACTGCCCTAAGCTCTGTTCTTTCCCTATGTGTAGGTTTCACCAAGAGTGACCTCCACACTAGTGAGCCCAGGGAAGGTGAGTACAAGCAGGGGCCCACCCTTGGTGTCCACACCTGGAGACCGGAGCTCCTAGAAGGCCTCCGATTCCTTACCATTCCTTACCATTTCCCTCAGGCAGAGGCAAGGGTTTTAGTTCTCCGCCCCACCCCCAAGCCCAGGACAGATCAGCCCCAGTACAGATGGCCAAGGACCGCCAGCCATAGGCTTGTCACCTGCAATACTGTGTCAGGATGCTGTTGGGTAGCTGGCTGTGAGTGGAGCTCTGAGAGTAGCTTGAAGAAGCCCAGGCTCCAGCTACCTGGGGGGACAATGGGAAGTCTCCTTTGTGGGCCCCAGTTTTCTGTAGGAGAGGGTATTCTGTCCCTGCGTGTGAGCGGCGAGGAAGGGTGTGTGCCAGCACCGCCATCGTGGAAGGAGTGTGCCTGCGGTTCCCAGGCTCCACACTGCGGGCTCAGCTTCCACGGCAGCTTCCATCTTCATCACAGCCCTTCTGATTTTTCCTTTTAAATACCTTGCATTATTTTTAGTAGTAGTATTTGAGATGGATTCTCGCTCTGTCGCCCAGGCTGGAGTGCAGTGGGCCTCACTGCAACCTCTGCATTCCAGGTTCAAGCAATTCTCCTGCCTCGGCCTCCCCAGTAGCCGGGACTACAGGCTCGTGCTGCCACACCCAGCTAAATATTTGTATTTTTAGTAGAGACGGGGTTTCACCATGTTGTCCAGGCTGGTCTCGAACTCCTGACCTCAGGTGATCTGCCCACCTTGGCCTCTCAAAGTGCTGGGATTACAGGCGTAAGCCACCATGCCTGGCCTGAAATACCTAATAAAAAAAAATTCTCTGCAATAGCTCCAGGCCAAGAGATGTTGCCTCCCACCACCTACCAAATTCCTTTCCTCAAACAGCCCTTTCATGAAGTCATTCCTCTGTTCAGAAACCGTCAATGGCTCCTTATTTCCCACCTTATCGTGGCCATACTCTCTAGCCTGGCTTTTCATGCCTTACTTAAGTTTCATCTGACCTCTCCAAATCCTTGGTTCTTCTCCAGTTGTGTCAGTCTGCTTGCCACATAAATGAGTGCCAGCCTCACCCCTGCCGCAGTCTCTTTGCTCCTGTTTATTCTCCACACCTGGGCTATCCTGACTCGGAGTGTGCAGCTCCCTCCACTCCTGCCATCCGCTTCCAGCTGTCTTCCAGGCCTCAGCAGGACTCAGCTCCTCCCAAGACCTTGTCTGATGGCATCAGCCTTTATTCCTCCCCTCCTTCTCTGAATCTATAATAATTTAACAACTAATCACTAAGTTTTGTTAGTTTGCTTTTTCATTTGCATTAGTTGTTTCCTTAGTTTCTTACACATTCTCTGCAAGCAGAGTCCACGAGTTCTTTGGCATCTCCCACAACATCTAGCACAGTGCTGAGCATCAAGTCAACTCAGTCTGAGAATAATAAGGCCGGGCGTGGTGGCTCACATCTGTAATCCCAGCACTTTGGGAGGCTGAGGCAAGTGGATCAAGAGATTGAGACCATCTTGGCCAACATGGTGAAACCCGGTCTCTACTAAAAATACAAAAATTAGCTGGGTGTGGTGGCCCAAGCCTGTAGTCCCAGCTACTTGGGAGGCTGAGGCAGGAGAGTCGCTGGAACCCAGGATTTGGGGGTTGCAGTGAGTCAAGATGGTGCCACTGCACTCTAGACTGGTGACTCCATCTCAAAAGAAACAAAAAGGAATAATGAATGATTGATGGAGTGTTTCCATCCTGAGATTATGTACCTGCTGCCTGCCTGCCCTGTGTTTGGATGCTTTTGGGAGATTAACTGTATAGATTGGATCAATGTTCTTCATTTGGGAGATGCTTATGGCTTGGATTGTGGACCTGTAGAGCCATTTTTACAGCTGCAGGGAAATATGGCTAGTATGATCTGAGTCTGGCGGGGTTATCCAGGCATGCTGTGAGCTTTGAAGGGTGGCACTTGATGGAGAGGAAGGATGAAAGGAACACCCAGAGGCAAGAGGGGGTACATGCCAGTACCCAGGGCCCTTTGTCTTTTTCTGGGCCTTTTGTCCTTTTCTGAGCCATCTGGCCATCCTGGGAGTCCCTTTAAACTGTCCCCCCTGGATGGGAGAACTTGAGATTCTCTGGGAGGGCCCTGGACCTGCTTTGATGTCTCTGTGCCTTTCCTCCAGGCTGAGGATGTCACCTTCCTCTACCATCCCTGTGCCCACCCCTGGCTGAAGCTCCAGCTTGCCCTCCTGGCCTACACTTGTATGGCTAACCCCTCCCTCACCCCTGACTCCAGCCTCACACAGGATCGGGTATGTAGCTGATGAAAGGTGCTTGCCTGTCCCTGGCAGAAGGCTATGGCCCTATGTGCAGGGAAAGGAAAATTCAAGGGGCTCCTCTTGTTTGTCCCCACTTTCCTCGTAGCTCTAACAGTTACCTCCTCTCATAGCCTCTGGTGCTGGCTGCGTGGGGGCTGGCGCTGGAGATGGCCTGGGTAGAGCCAGCCTGGGCTGCACACTGGCTGATGAGGAGGTGGAGGAGGAAGCAGAGGAAGAAGATGGCATGGATCTACCATGACAGCCTTTTGGGGCCCCCTCCCTGTATGCCAACCCTAGGTAGAGGGAGGCTGTGCCGGAGAGGGTGTGTGCAGGTGAGAGGTGCTGGGCGCAGGCTTTTTGATCTCAGGTTCTCTGAGGAGAGCTGCAGGGTGATTGCTGTCTCCCCTCTCCTTAGGCCCTGGCTCTGGCCTTCGCTCTGCGGAGCTGGCGGCCCCCTGGCACAGAGATGACATCTCAAGGGCCCAGGCAGCCCTCTCCCAGTGGTGCCAAGAGACGGAGGCTGCGGGCTGCCCTTGTTCCCCAGCCGACTCGCTCAGCCCTGAGGTTTCCCTCTGCTTCCCCAGGAAGCTTCAAGGCCAAGCAGCCCATGCTGGGAATCCGTGGTAGGGAGAGTAATGCCCCATCAGCACCCACTGCCTCCCTGCTGCCCGGGGCACCTGGAGGCAATGCCAGCTCCAGGGAAGAGGTTCATGTGCCCAGCGGGCAAGGCAGCCCAGGGAGCTGTGTCTGTTCAAGTCAGGCTTCCCCGGCCCCCCGCGCCGCAGCGCCTCCACGGGCAGTTCGGGGCCCCACCCCACGTACGGAAGAGGCCGCCTGGGCCGCCATGGCCCTGACCTTCCTGCTGGTGCTGCTCACCCTGGCCACGCTCTGCACACGGCTGCACCGAAACTTCCGACGCGGGGAGAGCATCTACTGGGGGCCCACAGCGGACAGCCAGGACACAGTGGCTGGTGAGGAGTTCCCTCCCCACCCGAGGCCCCCGCCCCATCTCGCGTCGCCCCCCACGGCTTCTCTGCCCTCCCGCCCTTGACTGCTCGGCGCCTGGCCCACAGCTGTGCTGAAGCGGAGGCTGCTGCTGCCCTCGCGACGAGTCAAGCGCTCCCGCCGGAGACCCCTCCTTCCGCCCACGCCGGACAGCGGCCCGGAGGGTGAGAGCTCGGAGTGACGGCCTGGGTCCTGCCACTGTAGCGTGTGGCTCCTCCCCGCGCCGCGAGGCCGCGACCTCTGCCACGTGGACCGGGCGCGGGGCGCCCCCTGGTGGCGACGGTGCGGTCCCGGCCGAGCATCGCGAAGGTTTTCCTCCTCAGCGTTCCTTCGCGTTGGTGGCTGAGTGAGCGGCGGCGGAGAGAAAGCCGCTTCTGCCTCCCTTGCCAAAACTCCGTTTCTAATTAAATTATTTTTAGAAGAGTCTGGAGTTTAGCTGGTGCATCTGCCGAACAGAGACACTCCCACCTGCACCCTTGTCCTAGGCCGTGGAGGTGGTGTTTCAGCCAGGGGCTTACCAATCAGACTGGGCACCACCAGCCCACCCCCATTGGCCAACCAGTCCCTAGACACGGGGCTTTAGGAGGGTGCCACGTTATCATCATACATGTTAACCTTGTTATTCCCAAACTCCTCTTACGCTAGACAGACGTTCCCAGCACAGGGGCTTTCCTTGGGTGGGGAGTCTTAGGCACTTGCAGCCACCCTTCCTTTCATGTCTGCCACTTCCCTCCAGTCCCCATTCTCTAGGCATCAGAAATAGCTCATGGTCACTTCTTTATTTTTGATACAAATGTACATGACACATGTCTTGACAGTCAGCCCACCCACCAACCACCACACGGGTAGGGCCTGGCCCCCAGGGAAGAGGCCGGATGGGGAGAGAGCTGGTGGGTGCCACCGTCTGCCTCTCCAGCCTTCCCAGGCTGCGGCCAGGTTCCCAGGCCTCCAGAGGGTGGGACCATAGCAGGTGCAGGTAGTGATGGTGGGTGCTGGCCTCGCAAAGGTTACGGGGAGGGGACTCAGCTCCACAGCCACCAGCTGAGTCAGGGACCCCGGGGAGCCAGCCCCAGGCTCAGGTGCTCAGTCCTCTGCCCTGGCCAGCACACGTTCCCCCTCCACACAGGAGCAGGAGATGGAGGGAAGTGGTTTTCTATTTAAGTTCATAGAGAAGAGGCGACAGTGGGGAGGGATCAGGGAGGCAGCGGGCAGGACCACAGCTGGTTACCTGGGCAGCCCCTGGCTCCAGGTGGGGAAGAGAAGCTGACCCCCACGCTGGTCCCACTGCTCTGGTCCCCTCACCCCTCAAAACTCCAGATGGACCAGGCCTCCGGAACGGCACTGCCGCCGGCACACTCACACGCAGGCACGCAGGGACACTCAGTTACCACAAAGTTAAAATTAGGGGTGGGAAAGAAGAAAGGAAAAAAAAAAAAAAGACTTTCCAGTGTTTGCTGCTGGGGACCCCAGCACACAGGTTGGGGCCTGTGCCCTAGGCAGGGGCCGTTTGGCATTAAAGGGAGAGCAGCAAGGGGCTGGTGGCTACAGGGCAGGGACATCCACAGAGACTATGTACAAAGGAGGGGATGCCCCCGCTCAGCCCCCAATAGGGCTGAACTGGCTCATGGGGGTGGGGCGTGTGTGGGGAGAGCTGCCCCACTTGGAGTGTCCCCACCCGCCCCTTTGCTGAGGGTGCCCTAGAGGGCCAGGGGCTGGGAGTGATGCCTTGCAGGCCCCTGCTCACTAGGAGGTGGGGAGATGCTATATACAGGGGAGAGGTGCATGGAATGTGGGGGACAGAAGCTGCTGCCACCCCACTTCCCCATCCTTAGGGGCTCGATAGGGGTGGGCACCAGGGCGCCTGACTGCCAGCGAGAGTGGCAGCACTAAGGGCACTTGTGCCAGTGGCTCTGTTGGGGTGGGGATTAATGTCTGGAGTGGCCCAGCTCCTGTGGCCAGTGAGGTCCTAGGGTGCAGGTGAGGGTGTGGGGAGAGAGGTCACTGCTTCTTCTCTCGGGTGGTGATGGTGACCAGCTGCTTGGCAGCCTTGGCGATGTCATAGGCGCACTGTATCACCTGCTGAGTCAGCAGCTGGAAGTCCACTGGGGCGCCAGGCTCTGGGGGCACTGTCTTCCGGCATTCACTCTGCAGCCGGTAGGCGCTGGCGTTGAGCAGGCGCAGTGAGCTCCGCACTGGCTCCAAGGCTGGCCTCTGGAGGGTGGGGAGTGAGGCTGGACCTTAGACGTTAAGCCACCAGCTGCGATCAGGGCCCAGTTTGTCTGTCTCCTCCCAGGCAGCAGTCAGATGGGATTCTCCACATCTGCCCCAGCCCAAGGTCCCCCCCACTCCTGGTCCTCTCTTTGGCTGCTGTACCTTTGGGAAGAGGGAGGCCATCTCGGTCACAGCCAAATGGATCTTCTCTGAGCAGGGCACAAAGCTGAGGGGAGAAGAGTGGGTATAAATCAGGGGGCTCTCGAGGGAGGTTCCCAGGGACACCAGAACACAGGGCTCCTCATGCCCTCTATAACACCCCAGAAGCCAACAGGAACCACACACCCCCAACCCTGTACCTGTCATGCTTGAACTCTTGGGCTGCCCGCAACAGTTCCTGAATGTTCTTGGTAACCTGCTCTGTCTTCAAGATGACATCCTCTGTGCTGGGAAGCCCGGGATCTAGGTCTCCATCCAGGCTTTCCAACTCTGGGTGGAAGTCTTCCTCTTTGCCCAGCTCTAGAAACCTCTTCCCTTCCAGCCTAAGGCCCAGGTCCAGAAAAGAGACAGAAAGATAAAGAAATGTTCCAGCCTTGGAGCCGCCTGCCTAGGTCCTCAGAGACGCGCTAGGGGCCCTCCCAATCTCCCTGCCTCAGCATGTGAGCAGGCTGGGCTGGAGACCCAAGGAGCCTCACCCAAGCAACGGGTCCCCACTTTGCGTGTTCTCATAGTCACTGTCAGCTCCGCTGCCGTGGCGGGAAAGCTTGCTCTGGAGGGCGGAGGGAAGGGGCGGTGAGTGCATGTGTTCCTGGAACCATATGGCCCCCAGCCACCCTGTGAGCACTGGGCATGGAAATGTTACCGTGTGGCGGCTTCCTTCCTGGGAGCAGGATAGCAGTGGGGAGGAGGGAGTGAAGGGCACAGCCGAGGCAGACACCCCCTTCCGGATCTGAAACCCAGGGCAGTGCTGGATGGAGTTAGAGTGCCCCACCGCACCAGTTTGCCAGAAGTCCGGCAGGGACAGGGTCAGTCTAATCATCTTAGGTCCCACATGCAGCACAGAGCCCAGCACCCCCTGGGGCTCAGAACCTACTGGCTAAGATGGACCTGCTTTCCCCAGGCCCTGCTTACCCGGTAAAGGCCAGCAGGGACATGCACTGAATAGATGGCGTCGTCCTCTAGCTCCTGGGGATGTTAGCACAGTGAGAGTCACTGTGGACCCTGTGGCAGCCCTACCCATTTTCCCATGCTGTGAGACCCACAAGTGACTCACGGTGCTGTGGAAAGGCTGCAGCCGCGTAGTGAGCTCGTCCCCAGGTGGGCCCCCGAAGGGCTTTAGGGCAGAGCCTGGTTCGTACATGGAGAAGGCCTGGCGGTCCCTGCGGTGTGTGCTCCCACTTGGCGCCATGGGTGTGTGTTCTGCCCGTTCACTGGGGAGTGGGGGTGTGGGCACTGGCCCCGGAGTTTGCCGGAGCTGCAGATTCTCCGCCTGCAGCTTGTGGATCTGTGGGTGCAAAGTGCTGTCAACTCCCTGGAGGCCTGGGGCTCCCCGGCCCTCCCACTGAGGCTGCACCCTCACCTCTCGCTGCAACCTCCGGAGCTCATCGCTCAGGCTACTGTTGACCTTCATGAGCTGCTGCACCTTTGCCTCCGAGGTAGCCAGAGCCTTCTTCAGCTCCAGGTACTCCTGCAGCGTCACAGCCCCATCAGACAGGTCCGAGGAGTCCATGCTCTGCAGAGAGAGACCTAAGCCGATCAGAGCTGGAGGCAGGGGAGCCAACACCCACAGGGGGCAGTTATTAAGGTTACGAGCAGCCCGCCTGTCCCCAGGTCCCTGGGCTACAAGAGGACAGAGCTGGGCCTCGGTGGAGTGGGCGGGAGGGCTGGGGAGGGCAGCCCTCGGACCCGGGCGCGGTTGCTCCGAGCGGCGCCAGTGCTGCGCAGGGGCTCCTGGTCTGTGTCCTCGTCAGAGGCCACGCTGTCGTAGTCGTGCTGGTCGTCGAGGTCACTCTGGCTCCGCATAGACAGCTCAAGGTTGTCTGAGGACACAGGGCTGTCACTTAGGCCTCACTCCACCACACGACCTGTCTCTCAGGCCACCCCTGGCAGGGAGAGCCATGCAGGAAAGGCCCCTGGAGCCCCACCTGCTGCCCACAACCACCCCTCCCCTACCTGTGGGGCTGCTCAGGCTCTTGCCCTGCTGTCTCCGCTTGGCCTCACTGAGAATGTCGATGATCAAGGTGGCAAACTCTCGGGCATTAAAGCGGGCCAGCTTTTGTCGCCCCTGCAAGGCAGAAAGGGCCAGGCTGGCCTCAGGGGACCCTTTATGACTGATGGATGGGGGTAGGGACCAAGCAGCAAGGCATGGCCCTGCCATCTAATTTAACCCCAGCTAAAGCATCCCAGCCCAGCTTTACCTGGCCAGTCAACAGTCAAGGCCACCCGGGGCCGGGTATGACAGAGGAGGGTGCCTGGGCAGAGGCCAGAACACCTGCTGGAGCTGCTCACCAGGTGCTCAAAAGAATGGCCTCCTGCCCCTTCCCAAATCCCAGTGCCAGCTGGGCCCTGAGGGAGGCCCTGGCAAATGCTGGAGAGTTGGTTTAGGCCCTAGCCCACTGCCAGATGAGGAGGGACCACAGGGATGAAGGAGACCACCCTAGGCCCCCAACCCAGCCCCCTCACCTGATTCCGAGTGGCTGAGTATTCTGGGTTAACAGGCAGGAAGGGCACAGCACTGCGCTCTGTCACCAGAGTGCTGTGGTTTTGGGTAGCCAGCCACACTGTGGGGGAGGGAAAGGAGCAGATCAGCCACAGTGGCCAGGCCCCCATGGTGTGGGTAGGGAAGCACTGAGCCTGGCCTTCCCAGCTGCCTCCATGCCCACCGAGCACTGGTGTTCAGAGCAGGGGTGGTCTTAGGCACACAGAGCTAGGCTGGGCCAGGGCAAGGCTGGGCGTGGCTTGCTGGGGACGGACAAATGGAACAAGGCTGGTCCCACACAGCCAGACCTAGAGTTTGGGCTGGAATCTGGCTGTGGCCAGGAAGGAGTGATGCAGAGGGGCGGAGCAGTACCAGGGAGACAGCCAAAGTGGGAGGCGGCCAGAGAGAGAGGAGCCCCAGTCTGAGGCTGGGGGAGGAGCAAGCTAGCCGCCTCCCGCTCAGCACTCTACCCAGCCTGGGATGCTGCCCAGCCAGGCTCACAGCTAGCAGGGGC